GTGCGTACGTGCGTGCGTACGTGCGTGTGCATGTGCCCAACGCTGCATTGGAGCTGTCCGCGTGCTGATCTCTAAATTCATGTCAAAGATTATAACAGGGAAAACTTTCCTCAGATCTGGGAAAAAAGTGTCAGGGCAGGGCCTCGCGTTTCAAGTTCGCACAGGGCCTCGCACCCCCCGTGCGACGGGCCTGGCCACACGCACACACAGTTTTATCTACTCAAATATGACTTGGATATATTCAACAACAGTAGTATTTATGGATCACCAGGAGTGGCCCCTGATCCACAGGATCCTTGAACATGTTTATTTGGACTGAGCTTTGTGAGAGAAAGACACATCGGCTGTTTTGGGAGTCGAGTCGCATGGCGCCGTAAAGATGGCGCCGTGGCAAGAGCTCTGGTGTGTGTCGTCTTCTCTGTCTGGTGCACACCGGGGTAGTCTTGCACAGTTTTTCCAATGTGGTTTTACTGCAAATGGCAAATAAATGAATCTGATCTGAGTGATTATCTCACTCCTCTTGATTGTTGAAGAAACTCAGCGACAGTTTTGTCAACACTGACTCCTGGAACATGATGGATATTCATTTTGGACCTCAGGGCAGCAACACAACTGTAGGAATGACACACACATCACAACATCATTATCATCATAATCACTGCGTCCCATATATGCATTCACAACAACCTACATGACAAATGTGGGGTGGAAAGTCTTCCTCAGAAGATGACAATGGCCGATCGTCTAATTCTGGAAGCAAAGTCTTGTCTTCCAGTCAATACTAGAGAAAGAAGAGGCGTTTAATACTTCAGCAGAAAAGTATCTTGTCGTTATGGCTTTTTGTTTTTTATAGTTACTTACGTTGCATTATGGAGGCTATTGAACTCTTGTACATTGAAGACCTCATTCCAATTGATTTAGGCCATACTGGAAAAGATACAGAGAAAAGAATGCAATGAAGACATGTACATTTTTTTATATTATGCTTATAATTTATTTGGTGGTAGCCAGCAAGACTTTTTACTTATTCTCAACACATAATAATAAGAATGTAGTGGTCACATCAGTTAGATTTGAAGTAGATATATATTGTTTTTATATATAAAAATAACTATCCATACAGTGCAAGTTGCAAAACTTAGTTATTAAAGAATGAAATGCAGACCTACATCTATAGTGCAAGCAGCTGTTGTAGAGTGTAGTAGAGTGTAGTGTGACAAACACTCTCTATAAGTGATGCTATTGGAAGATCAACACCCAAAAATCGCTTACTTCTGCTTTAATGAACACTTTAATGAACACACCACTCTTCATTGCATTTGGTTTGACACTTATTATTGTGCAAATCTAGTTAAAAGAATTATAGTTCCTCCAACGCAACAATCCTTATTTCACTATGTTGTTCTCTCACTGTGTTTAAAGGCTCGTCTTCTGCTTCAGAGACACTTCCCAAACCATTTGTACGAGTGAGTAAAGGGTAACTGTGATCGAGGAACATGAATCATTACGGTTAATCTTGTTACAATATACATTTCTTTTACGTGTTATATTATTTTTAAATTTCATAAAAAGCAAATCTAAAGATGGGATAGAGACCAAAAATACATGGTGAGATTTGACTACATTGTTCCATTTTTGTGCTACTTTTGTGCTACACAGAAAAGACCAACCTCATTCAGCCAAAAGCTCAAGTCTCTGTCTTACAAGTATTCAAAAGAAAACATGGTTTCTAGATGAGATTACAGACTCTTTCTGTTGGAACTTGTTTTATTTATGAAACAAAAGAGTTTGCCCGGCTCTTTAAGTTGAAGATATGATGAATATTTCTAATAATAAGAATAATGCATCGGTTTTATACAGCGCTTTTTTGGACACTCAAAGACGCTTCACATGTGTCATTATTCTTTCACGGTGGTGATAAACTACTACTGTAGCCACAGCTGCCCTGGGGCACACTGACAGAAGCGAGGCAACCAGTCTGTGCCATTGACCCCTCCGACCACCACCAACCATTCACACACACACACCAGACTCATTCTAGGCAATGGGGGTGAAGTGTCTTGCCTAAGGACACAACGGCAGTTTGGCACTTTACAGCCACAGCTGCCCCACTGTGGCTGGTGTTCCCAGAGGTTAAGTGTCTTGCCCAAGGACACAACGACAGTAGTCAGTGGGAGTCGATGGTGAAAGTCTTGAGCGGGGCTTGAACCCACAACCTTCTGGCTCAAAGGCCAACGCTCTACCAACTGAGCTACTGCCGCCAATTTCTGGATGTATTTGAAATGACAAATTCCAAGCTCTTCCTGCATATGCTCCTGATTTGACTGTACTTTGTGATGATGTGATGCTAAACTAATGGGCCTTGGCTAAATATAGCCTCAGCCCACATCACTGTCAGCAGGGGGCAGTGCTCAAACTTACCACCGTAAAGACGTTACCAAGGCAACAGAGGACCCGTGTCTGCGTGCGCTATACTTGACCCGCCTTTAGGCTTACAGCTTGTTATGGAAGTTTATAAAGGAAAACGAGACGAAAGGTGTCAATAATAATAATGCATTGGTTTTATATAGAGCTTTTTTGGACACTCAAAGACGCTTCACTCTGTACACGGTGGTGTAGCCACAGCTGCCCTGGGGCACACTGACAGAAGCGAGGCAACCAGTCTGTGCCATTAGCCCTTCCACCACCACCAACCATCCACACACACACCAGACTCATTCTTGGCAGTGTGGGTGAAGTGTCTTGCTATTTACAGCCACAGCCGCCCCACTGTGGCACCTTTAAGGTCAGGGTTTTTTCAGCAACTATCAGACCAAACATGTAAAGACAGGTTCACCTGAATTAAAGCCTACATTTAAATTCACTCATTGGGGTCTAATAAAGTCAGTACAATTACAATCACACTTTTGTTGCCAGAAACTTGTTGCCAGTGCCACACCTAACTCCTAAGTACTGATTATTGATGCACTTCATCTGCTGGGGCAGAGGGTTGGGTCATTGAAACTCATGTCATGTTCTATTTTTCATTTTATTTTACCTAACAAATAGATAACCCAAACGATAACCTCATTCTGCTCTTGGATGATCTACTTGTACAACAATATGAAGACATATATGAAACATGTAGATGTCATTCAAAATGAACTAAGGCATGAATAACACAAATCCTCTGAACAAAATAATGAACGACATGTTTTGGAAAATGGGTGAAGCTCTTATAAATACTTTGTACTGGGGGATCACTCTCCACATACTTCCATAGTACTTTTCTCTTATACAGTTCAGTGACTTACTTAACAAGAGCCTTTGAAGTAACACAAATAACTGTTTTCATTTCACCACTGCAAGAGGAGCTCCGACCGCAAATAAGAGAATAAATGTATAGGATCATATTCTGCATGAAGACTTGATTATTATTCATTGTGACCGAAGTTGGTTCTGAGGTGCATACATTTATGTTATGAGGGGCTGGTGCTCTGTGTACTGGGTGGAGCTCTGACTGCCACCCACCCCCGACCCAGAAATGGATTAAGGGGAAGAAAATGGATGGATGGATAAATGCAGATATTGTTCCACTTCTACCAGAAAATCCACATTATTCAAGTAAAAGCATTTCATCATAAAGTTCCTTTACACATTCTGCAGTGATCAACAGTTCAGAGGCGTCAGTAATCTTGAGTTATTTCAGTCTGTTTATCCAATTTTGTGTAATTCCCTGTGTGTACCTGGGTGTTCACATTAACAATAAACTGGACTGGTCCATAATACAAACGCCCTGCACAAGAAGGGCCAAAGTCGCCTCTTCCTTCTGAGGAGGCTGAGGTCCTTCTGAAGAGGCTGAGGTCCTTCTGAGGAGACTGAGGTCCTTCTGAGGAGGCTGAGGTCCTTCTGAGGAGGCTGAGGTCCTTCTGAGGAGACTGAGGTCCTTCTGAGGAGGCTGAGGTCCTTCTGAGGAGGCTGAGGTCCTTCTGTGGAGACTGAGGTCCTTCTGAGGAGGCTGAGGTCCTTCTGAGGAGACTGAGGTCCTTCTGAGGAGGCTGAGGTCCTTCTGAGGAGGCTGAGGTCCTTCTGAGGAGGCTGGGGTCCTTCTGAGGAGGCTGAGGTCCTTCTGAGGAGGCTGGGGTCCTTCTGAGGAGGCTGAGGTCCTTCTGAGGAGGCTCAGGTCCTTCTGAGGAGGCTGAGGTCCTTCTGAGGAGACTGAGGTCCTTCTGAGGAGGCTGAGGTCCTTCTGAGGAGGCTGAGGTCCTTCTGAGGAGGCTGAGGTCCTTCTGAGGAGGCTGAGGTCCTTCTGAGGAGGCTGAGGTCCTTCTGAGTGAGCAGGCCTCTGCTCAGGACTTTTTATGACTCTGTGGTAGCTTCTGCCATTTACTACGCTGCCGTGTGCTGGGCCCCGGGCAGCACAGAGCGGGACAGAAACAGACTGAACAAGCTGGTCAGGAGGGCCAGCTCCACTCTGGGCTGCTCCCTGGACACACTTCTATCTATGCCAAATGTGACATGTACATTCTCCAGTGTGAGATTGTTTCTCTTGTAATAAATATTATATTGTATATTTGTGTGTTCTGGAATGTGCACTGCAACTTCAACATTTCCCCTCGGTGGGAAGAATAAAGTCTTATTGTGAGGGTTGTCAAACGATTACAATTTTTAACCGAGTTATTTACAGCTTAAAAATGTCATTAATCACATTTCAAACTATCGGCAAAATGATGCCATAGTTTTCTGTAAATGGTTGAATGGAAAGATAAATGAGAACAAAGTGCACATATGTTCTGTATTTGTTTATTATAACAACAATAAATCCACATAAAATGGAATAAAACTATTGTTTGTTACAAGGATGAGAATGAGACATTTAAAAAAAAAAAGCAGAAATGAAATGGTCTGAAATACAGAATGTCATTAAATCTGATTTGTTGAACATTTTACTTTTGGGCACAACCAACATGAGCTGTTAATGCAAGGGAAAATGTATGTACCCCAGCTTTGATTTAACGAGTTTAGTTGCGCTTCGGAAAGAGACACGGAGGAGACACGGGTGAGACACGGAGGAGACGCGGAGGAGACGCGGGTGAGACACGGGTGTGACACGGAGGAGACGCGGGTGAGACACGGAGGAGACACGGGTGAGACACGGAGGAGACACGGGTGAGACACGGAGGAGACGCGGAGGAGACGCGGGTGAGACACGGGTGTGACACGGAGGAGACGCGGGTGAGACACGGAGGAGACGCGGGTGAGACACGGGTGAGACACAGGTGAGACACGGAGGAGACGCGGGTGAGACGCGGAGGAGACGCGGTCGAGACACGGAGGAGACGCGGGTGAGACACGGAGGAGACGCGGGTGAGACACGGAGGAGACGCGGGTGAGACACGGACACGGAGGAGACGCGGGTGAGACACGGAGGAGACACGGGTGAGACACGGAGGAGACGCGGGTGAGACACGGAGGAGACGCGGGTGAGACACGGAGGAGACGCGGGTGAGACACGGAGGAGACGCGGGTGAGACACGGAGGAGACGCGGGTGAGACACGGAGGAGACGCGGGTGAGACACGGAGGAGACGCGGGTGAGACACGGAGGAGACGCGGGTGAGACACGGAGGAGACGCGGGTGAGACACGGAGGAGACGCGGGTGAGACACGGAGGAGACGCGGGTGAGACACGGAGGAGACGCGGGTGAGACACGGAGGAGACACGGGTGAGACACGGAGGAGACGCGGGTGAGACACGGAGGAGACGCGGGTGAGACACAGAGGAGACGTGGGTGAGACACGGAGGAGACGCGGGTGAGACACGGAGGAGACACGGGTGAGACACAGGTGAGACACGGAGGAGACGCGGGTGAGACACGGAGGAGACGCGGGTGAGACACGGAGACACGGAGGAGACGCGGGTGAGACACGGAGGAGACGCGGGTGAGACACGGAGGAGACGCGGGTGAGACACGGAGGAGACACGGGTGAGACACGGAGGAGACACGGGTGAGACACAGGTGAGACACGGAGGAGACGCGGGTGAGACACGGAGGAGACGCGGGTGAGACACGGAGGAGACGCGGGTGAGACACGGAGAAGACACGGGTGAGACACGGAGGAGACGCGGGTGAGACACGGAGGAGACGCGGGTGAGACACGGAGGAGACGCGGGTGAGACACGGAGACACGGAGGAGACGCGGGTGAGACACGGAGGAGACACGGGTGAGACACGGAGGAGACGCGGGGTGAGACACGGAGGAAACGCGGGTGAGACACAGGTGAGACACGGAGGAGACACGGGTGAGACGCGGGTGAGACACAGGTGAGACACGGAGGAGACGCGGGTGACACGCGGAGGAGACGCGGGTGAGACACGGAGGAGACGCGGGCCAGACACGGGTGAGACACGGAGGAGACGCGGGTGAGACACGGAGGAGACACGGGTGAGACACAGGTGAGACACGGAGGAGAAGCGGGTGAGACACGGAGGAGACACGGAGGAGACGCGGGTGAGACACGGAGGAGACGCGGAGGAGACACGGGTGAGACACAGGTGAGACGCGGGTGAGACACGGAGGAGACACGGAGGAGACACGGGTGAGACACAGGTGAGACACGGAGGAGACGCGGGTGAGACACGGAGGAGACACGGAGGAGACGCGGGTGAGACACGGAGGAGACGCGGAGGAGACACGGGTGAGACACAGGTGAGACGCGGGTGAGACACGGAGGAGACACGGAGGAGACACGGGTGAGACACAGGTGAGACACGGAGGAGACGCGGGTGAGACACGGAGGAGACGCGGGTGAGACACGGAGGAGACGCGGGTGAGACACGGAGGAGACACGGGTGAGACACGGAGGAGACACGGAGGAGACACGGGTGAGACACGGGTGAGACACAGGTGAGACACGGAGGAGACGCGGGTGAGACACGGAGGAGACACGGAGGAGACACGGGTGAGACACGGAGGAGACGCGGGTGAGACACAGGTGAGACACGGAGGAGACGCGGGTGAGACACGGAGGAGACACGGGTGAGACACGGAGGAGACGCGGGTGAGACACGGAGGAGACGCGGGTGAGACACGGAGGAGACGCGGGTGAGACACAGGTGAGACACGGAGGAGACACGGAGGAGACACGGGTGAGACGCGGGTGAGACACAGGTGAGACACGGAGGAGACGCGGGTGAGACGCGGGTGAGACACAGGTGAGACACGGAGGAGACACGGGTGAGACGCGGGTGAGACACAGGTGAGACACGGAGGAGACGCGGAGGAGACGCGGGTGAGACGCGGAGGAGACGCGGTCGAGACACGGAGGAACGCGGGTGAGACACGGAGGAGACGCGGGTGAGACACGGAGGAGACACGGGTGAGACACGGGTGAGACACAGGTGAGACACAGGTGAGACACGGAGGAGACGCGGGTGAGACACGGAGGAGACGCGGGTGAGACACGGAGGAGACGCGGGTGAGACACGGAGGAGACACGGGTGAGACACAGGTGAGACACGGAGGAGACGCGGGTGAGACGCGGAGGAGACGCGGGTGAGACACGGAGGAGACACGGAGGAGACGCGGGCCAGACACGGGTGAGACACGGAGGAGACGCGGGTGAGACACGGAGGAGACACGGGTGAGACGCGGGTGAGACACAGGTGAGACACGGAGGAGACGCTGGTGAGACGCGGAGGAGACGCGGAGGAGACGCGGGCCAGACACGGGTGAGACACGGAGGAGACGCGGGTGAGACACGGAGGAGACACGGGTGAGACACGGAGGAGACACGGGTGAGACACGGAGGAGACGCGGGTGAGACACAGGTGAGACACGGAGGAGACACGGAGGAGACGCGGGTGAGACACGGAGGAGACACGGAGGAGACGCGGGTGAGACACGGAGGAGACGCGGGTGAGACACGGAGGAGACGCGGAGGAGACCACTGGTGAGACACGCAGGAGACACGGGTGAGACGCGGGTGAGACACGCAGGAGACACGGGTGAGACGCGGGTGAGACACGCAGGAGACACGGGTGAGACGCGGGTGAGACACGCAGGAGACACGGGTGAGACGCGGGTGAGACACGCAGGAGACACGGGTGAGACACGGAGGAGACACGGGTGAGACACGGAGGAGACGCGGGTGAGACACGCAGGAGACACGGGTGGGACGCGGGTGAGACACGGGTGAGACACGCAGGAGACACGGAGGAGACACGGAGGAGACACGGAGGAGACACAGACACTTGAGGCTCCATAGTCCAGCTTCAGCGGTGCATTTATTGCGTGCACAGGTTACACAAAGACGCACACAACAAGCAGAGAATAGTTCTGTGTGTGTCTGGTCTCGGATATGATCACGTAAAGGCGGTGCCATTCGCCGTGTTGTTGTCAAAGCGGCGCACAGCAACTGTAGGTGGGAACTGCTGTCCAGAGCGGTCGCAGCTGCCCTGGGTCAGAGCGCTGCGTTCGAGTACATACAGCAAACAACAGAAATTGTTCTTTTTTAACCGTAATTCCCACCTGCTCTTTTGCCTAGAAAACACTTTTGTTTTCTATGTTCAACTTTTATTTGACAATAATTGGCTTCATGCACCACCGTTTGTGCCATCGTTCTTAATCTGCAAAATATGGCGTAAAAATCTACATTTCTGCCTGGGTGAGGAAACTTTCGAGCCCAAACTTCATACTTACGTACAGTATATACAAAAGGCATTTCCGGATGTTAAGTGGGATGTTTTGTGGGATCTTTAATAATTGAAGATAATGAAAACTAAAATAATATTGCAGATATGTCGTCCCCTCCTCATGTATCTGTGTATGAGTGTTGTAACTTGTGCTCTGGGACATTTGGAGTTGTAGATATCCAATTTAGTAGATATCCAGTTTGTCCCAGAAGTCACAAATATGGTCCCGAGTGCTAAATTGAGTGTGTGACCTTACAGTAAGGTTCATGACCAGCCAACCGCTCTGGGGGGAGTATTGTGGCCACGGCGGCAGCCTCTGCTCTCGACAGAAGCCAGTCTGCCCCCAACGGCTTGAGGGGTCCTCGCTGTGGGCCCACCCTCCCCAGTAACACAGCGCTCGATTGGACAGCAGGCGTTCAGAGGGCGTCATGCTAAAGTTGGCCACCGGGGCGGAGTTGAAGACAAAGGGCAATTCTGCACCATGGCAGGCGTGATGGTAGCAGAAGGAGAGACCAGACCACACACGCTGATCTGATGCCACATGGTCAAACACGTACATCCACACACGACTACCCGCTGCAACGCCTGAGCGTGCCACGCGGCGAGCAGGGCACAGAAAGATGTAGTCTGTGACGATCTGCGGACGACAGCATATATCATCTGAACAGATAGACCTAGGACACACTTTTTACAGTGAAATTCTGGCAACTTTACCAGAACATTTCTGTAAAAAATATGAATGCAATGTAAAGCAAATCACGGAAAATATATGTAAATACATTTACAGTAAAGCCTGGCAAAATCTGTTAAGTCAACAAAACTTTACTGATAATTTCAGTATTTGTTACATCTATTAAATGTATATTTTGCATTAGAAAATGGTGAAAGACACTGAATATGATCCAGCACTGTACAATTTATTTGTAGATTTTACAAAAAATGATTGCAAACTTTTGTAAGCAGCCCCTTAAAGTGATTGTCTGGAGTTTGTCAGAAAGAGAGAGAGAGAGGTGCTTGATTTGAAAAAAACCACGCAAGCTCCTCCCCCTTCCTTTCTGATTGGTCTACACCTACGTTTCCGTAACACTTTGAAATGTTAATCAGAGAACACATTATACATATACATTATTAATACACATGCACAGAGGTTTTCAGAATTATTTGTGAACGTTTTAATGAAAAAAATATGTTTTTATGCACACAAAAAAGCGATCGCGGCAAACCAGGAAGTGCTATTATCACGAATTGCACATTATAGGACACATCTGCAGAGGATCTGATTATGGATATAGGTTCAGTATATAAATGATTATGGATATATGTTTATATATAAATGATTATGGATATAGGTTCAGTATATACATAAGTAACTCAGCGCGGATGTTCAGAATTCTTTGTTCACTTTTCATGTAGTTCCAGAGCCTAATAGAGGCTCCGCAAAAACAAACAACTGAGCATGAGCAGCTGCAGCATCAGCGCCGATGATTGACAGCCCTTGGCAGGACTCGATTGGTTAACCTCGACGGCACCGTGGATTCTATAGCTAACTATAGCTAAGAGAAGGGAAGGCGGGACTTACCTGTAATATGAGAATTAATAAAATGACTTATTTTATATCAACATTTAAGGCCAGGAGGTCAATTTAACACATTTCCTAAAATTTGTAATTCATTTAGAGTTACAGACTATCACTTTAATGATTCTTCAGGGGTGCTTTTTAACGTGGAAGGTTCCAGAATACAGTGAATGAGTTAATCTTATGTCTTATTGCTCAGATGCATTTAGAGCTGATAATAGTATGATTGTCCAGTACTTTAGTGTTGTATGGGAGTCCACGCTTCACCATGAGTGAAGCGTGGACTCCATCTCCCATGAGCCTTTGCGCTTGCAGCCTCAAGTTTACTACATTAACCAGAACAAAATCATCAGGTTTGTTAAATCTGTGCAGTTGTAGCAGATTGCAGCGATGACTGTAGTTTTGCTGCTGACATTTAACAATCTTGTGGCTGCACTTGTTCTTCTAACTTAGCCTTTTTTAAAGGAACTTTATTACATTTATATTTATTTTTGCTTCACGCGTAACCTCATGATTAAACTCATTAGATCAAACACATTATAGGATATTTTATTTATATTCACCACTATTAAACTTACCTAAATTGGTAAACATGGTGGTCAACACCTCCCAACTTTTGAAGTGCTATTGTAGAGAGTACTGGCTCAGTTTAAGGAGACGGTCTCATGGTGTAATCAAAGCCATTACCTTCAGGACCTAAGTCCAATACTTTACCAACTGAGATCCTGCAGACGATCAGATATTTATTAATTTATATTTCAGTCATATTTAAATGATGATAAAGCAGATTCATCAATTCTCACCACAATCGATACTTATGTTCTCTCTATCATTAAGAATAAACCTTAAACAAATTATATTTTACAATATTTTAAAGTTACTTTAACTAAAGGATTTTGACATGAGTCATACAGTTTTTTTCTGTTTTTATTACTGTGATTTAATGTTTTTACGAGTCAATTTGATCATAATCAAAAATTTGTTTCTCAGATTACAATATTATTATTGTGACTTTTACATAAAATTATTGTTTTCATAATAACATTGAGTTTATTTTGTATTTTTATAATATTTTCCTGTTAACTTTACTTTCTTTTTTACAGGACCTGGATCTAAACCTTGGACTGAACCTGTCCTCTGGTCTCCTGGTCTCCTGGTACACCCACATGACGTGCTTTTCCTGGTACACCTACATGACGTGTGTTTCCTGGTACACCTACATGACGTGCTTTTCCTGGTACACCTACATGACGTGTGTTTCCTGGTACACCTACATGGCGTGTGTCTCCTGGTACACCTACATGACGTGTGTTTCCTGGTACACCTTCATCAAGTGTGTTTCCTGGTACACCTACATGACGTGTGTTTCCTGGTACACCTTCATCAAGTGTGTTTCCTGGTACACCTACATGACGTGTGTTTCCTGGTACACCTACATGACGTGTGTTTCCTGGTACACCTTCATCAAGTGTGTTTCCTGGTACACCTACATGACGTGTGTTTCCTGGTACACCTACATGACGTGTGTTTCCTGGTACACCTACATGACGTGTGTTTCCTGGTAACACCTACATGACGTGTGTTTCCTGGTACACCTACATGACGTGTGTTTCCTGGTACACCTACATGACGTGTGTTTCCTGGTACACCTACATGACGTGTGTTTCCTGGTACACCTACATGACGTGTGTTTCCTGGTACACCTACATGACGTGCGTTTCCTGGTACACCTACATGACGTGTGTTTCCTGGTACACCTACATGACGTGTCTCTCCTGGTACACCTACATGACGTGTGTTTCCTGGTACACCTACATGACATGTGTTTCCTGGTACACCTACATGACGTGTGTTTCCTGGTACACCTACATGACGTGTGTCTCCTGGTACACCTACATGACGTGTGTTTCCTGGTACACCCACATGACGTGTGTTTCCTGGTACACCTACATGACGTGTGTTTCCTGGTACACCTACATGACGTGCTTTTCCTGGTACACCTACATGACGTGTGTTTCCTGGTACACCTACATGGCGTGTGTCTCCTGGTACACCTACATGACGTGTGTTTCCTGGTACACCTTCATCAAGTGTGTTTCCTGGTACACCTACATGACGTGCGTTTCCTGGTACACCTACATGACGTGTGTTTCCTGGTACACCTTCATCAAGTGTGTTTCCTGGTACACCTACATGACGTGTGTTTCCTGGTACACCTTCATCAAGTGTGTTTCCTGGTACACCTACATGACGTGTGTTTCCTGGTACACCTACATGACGTGTGTTTCCTGGTACACCTTCATCAAGTGTGTTTCCTGGTACACCTACATGACGTGTGTTTCCTGGTACACCTACATGACGTGTGTTTCCTGGTACACCTACATGACGTGTGTTTCCTGGTACACCTACATGACGTGCGTTTCCTGGTACACCTACATGACGTGTGTTTCCTGGTACACCTACATGACGTGTGTTTCCTGGTACACCTACATGGCGTGTCTCTCCTGGTACACCTACATGACGTGTGTCTCCTGGTACACCTACATGACGTGTGTTTCCTGGTACACCTTCATCAAGTGTGTTTCCTGGTACACCTACATGACGTGTGTTTCCTGGTACACCTTCATCAAGTGTGTTTCCTGGTACACCTACATGACGTGTGTTTCCTGGTACACCTACATGACGTGTGTTTCCTGGTACACCTACATGACGTGTGTTTCCTGGTACACCTTCATCAAGTGTGTTTCCTGGTACACCTACATGACGTGTGTTTCCTGGTACACCTACATGGCGTGTGTCTCCTGGTACACCTACATGACGTGTGTTTCCTGGTACACCTTCATCAAGTGTGTTTCCTGGTACACCTACATGACGTGTGTTTCCTGGTACACCTTCATCAAGTGTGTTTCCTGGTACACCCACATGACGTGTGTTTCCTGGTACACCTACATTACTTGTGTTTCCTGGTACACCCACATGACGTGTGTTTCCTGGTACACCTACATGACGTGTGTTTCCTGGTACACCCACATGACGTGTGTTTCCTGGTACACCTACATGACGTGTGTTTCCTGGTACACCTACATGACGTGTGTTTCCTGGTACACCCACATGACGTGTGTTTCCTGGTACACCTACATGACGTGTGTTTCCTGGTACACCTACATGGCGTGTCTCTCCTGGTACACCTACATGACGTGTGTTTCCTGGTACACCTACATGGCGTGTCTCTCCTGGTACACCTACATGACGTGTGTTTCCTGGTACACCTACATGACGTGTGTTTCCTGGTACACCTACATGACGTGTGTTTCCTGGTACACCTACATGACCTGTGTGTTTTCCTGGTACACCTACATGACGTGCGTTTCCTGGTACACCTACATGACGTGCGTTTCCTGGTACACCTACATGACGTGTGTTTCCTGGTACACCTACATGACGTGTGTTTCCTGGTACACCTACATGACGTGTGTTTCCTGGTACACCTACATGACGTGCGTTTCCTGGTACACCTACATGACGTGTGTTTCCTGGTACACCCACATGACGTGTGTTTCCTGGTACACCTACATGACGTGTGTTTCCTGGTACACCTACATGGCGTGTCTCTCCTGGTACACCTACATGACGTGTGTTTCCTGGTACACCTACATGACGTGTGTTTCCTGGTACACCTACATGACGTGTGTTTCCTGGTACACCTACATGACGTGTGTTTCCTGGTACACCTACATGACGTGCGTTTCCTGGTACACCTACATGACGTGTGTTTCCTGGTACACCTACATGACGTGTGTTTCCTGGTACACCTACATGACGTGTGTTTCCTGGTACACTACATGACGTGGTTTCCTGGGTCACCTACATGACGTGTGTTTCCTGTACACCACATGACGTGTGTTTCCTGGTACACCTACATGACGTGTGTTTCCTGGTACACCTACATGACGTGTGTTTCCTGGTACACCTACATGACGTGTGTTTCCTGGTGACGTGTTTTCCTGGTACACCTACATGACGTGTGTTTCCTGGTACACCACATGACGTGTTTTCCTGGTACACCTACATGACGTGTGTTTCCTGGTACACCTACATGACGTGTGTTTCCTGGTACACCTACATGACGTGTGTTTCCTGGTACACCTACATGACGTGTGTTTCCTGGTACACCTACATGACGTGTGTTTCCTGGTACACCTACATGACGTGTGTTTCCTGGTACACCTACATGACGTGTGTTTCCTGGTACACCTACATGACGTGTGTTTCCTGGTACACCTACATGACGTGTGTTTCCTGGTTTGACGTGTGTTTCCTGGTACACCTACATGACGTGTGTTTCCTGGTACACCTACATGACGTGTGTTTCCTGGTACACCTACATGACGTGTGTTTCCTGGTACACCTACATGACGTGTGTTTCCTGGTACACCTACATGACGTGGTACACCTTTCCTGGTACACCTACATGACGTGCGTTTCCTGGTACACCTACATGACGTGGTTTCTGGTACACCTACATGACTGTCGTTTCCTGGTACACCTACATGACGTGTGTTTCCTGGTACACCTACATGACGTGCGTTTCCTGGTACACCTACATGACGTGTGTTTCCTGGTACACCTACATGACGTGCGTTTCCTGGTACACCTACATGACGTGCGTTTCCTGGTACACCTACATGACGTGCGTTTCCTGGTACACCTACATGACGTGTGTTTCCTGGTACACCTACATGACGTGCGTTTCCTGGTACACCTACATGACGTGTGTTTCCTGGTACACCTACATGACGTGCGTTTCCTGGTACACCTACATGACGTGTGTTTCCTGGTACACCTACATGACGTGCGTTTCCTGGTACACCTACATGACGTGCGTTTCCTGGTACACCTACATGACGTGCGTTTCCTGGTACACCTACATGACGTGTGTTTCCTGGTACACCTACCTCCTGGTGTGAAATGGCGGGTAGAGCTGTTAGACCTTTGGAATATCTATTTTGGACAGTTTTATGCTGCTGTAGTTATTATGGTTTATTTTAAATTGAATTCAAAGTATTTTTTCTAGTTATAGTCACTGATCATTAACTTTATATTTATGGTAACAGAGTTAGTGTATGTGATTATCTGATGTTTGTTAGTGTATTTGAAAAAGCAGTATTTAAACAAAAGGAAGACGTCTTATTGCAGTACGAGATGACTCACCTGTGCGAGCATTCCCCTGCGGTCTGTGTCGTGGAACAGTGGGAGGTACTTGTGCAGGATGCGGAGCGTGTGCTGTTTGAAGATGGCTGTTATGTACACGGTACTCTCCACGGCCGACACCGGCTTGTTAAAGACAGCGTACACAAACAGAACTCCCTCCTCTGATGTGGTGCCTGCGAGCAACACACTCAGCATTAGAGGCAGTGGATGTGTGACAGGTTCAAAACCATTACAAATGGATAAAGACTTACAAAGGAGCTTATAAACTCAGTTAAACAAATTCAGTCAATTCAACTTCCTTTAGCCAACTTCATTTATATAAAGTGGGCAAAAAGTATTTAGTCAGCCACCAGTTGTGCAAGTTCTCCCACTTAAAAAGATGAGGGAGGCTTGGATTTTCATCACAGGTTTACCTCAAATATGAGAGACAAAATGAGAAAAAAAGATTTTTAAATAATTCATTTGCAAATTATGGTGGAAAATAAGTATTTGGTCATCGAAAAACTCTCTCAGACTTGTTCTTCTTTAAGACTTTTAAACAGAGGGTGGCAAGGTTTTTTTAAAGGGTCCACATTCGTACTATTCAGAAATTTAGTTTCACACAAAAACTGGCTAAACAATATATTTGAATCTTATCTTTATACTTTATATAAAGTGAATTGAGTGCACTTGGAAACTACAAAGCAAAAAGTACATTTAAACAGTATTCTGAATACCAGTTCTGGTGTAAAGCAGATGTTGACAAACTCATCCATATTGAGTCCCTGAGCCCTCCTTGACTCTACACTAAGGATACCAAGACGACTCAATCTATCATCTGCCATGGTAGTTCTGAGATGGTTTTGGACAACAGAGATCTTTGCAAGCCTGAAAAGCTCATGAAACACTTCTTTGAAAGGTTCCAAAAAGACAAGGAAGTCCAATAGGGAAGATGGTCTCTCTAATCATTTTTTTCTCTCCTCACAAGAAGCCGCCTAGTTTGATAAACCTCATGCTTAAGGTCCTCTATATCTGACTCAAAGGTTCTGCCAAATGCAAACAGGGGCTCTTTCAAAAATAAAGGATTTTTGGGGTCAAGTGACTGCACTCCATCCATAATCCTGCACCTGTCTGCAACTCCCTCTCATTCTCTGAACCTTAATTATACAAGCTATATTTTAATACAACACAACTGCCTCTGGCCTTCAGGCGAGGTTTCATAATCCTGATCTACAGACGCAATGTCTCCTTCCTTTTCTTTTCATGTTTACACTAAAGGGAAGAGGGCGATGATACAATGTGCATAATGGAGAATACACACTCCCGCACACAAACACGCATGCGCACACACGCATGCGCACACACGCATGCGCACACACGCATGCGCACACACGCATGCGCACACAGAGACAGTAAAAGTGCTACAAACTGAACGAGTGATGTGCTGCAGTACGTGTGTCTATACTTTATGTCAAATGTAAGCGGTTGGCTCTGTGTCGCAAACTTACCCTTTGTTTTCATCACGACTTTAGCACATGTGAGTCCAACAACCGATGAAAAGCACTAGCATACAGCGCCTCACCGCAACAGAGTCGGGGTGCGTTCACAGGTGGTGGGAATTTTTGTTTTCGGCGGAAAAAGTGCAGAAGATTCTCAAGAAATGCATATTATTACATTGCCATCATCCGAGGGGGGGCACTGGGGGTGGCAAGGGTATTTTTAGAGGTGGCAGTGTGGCCACCCTGGCCACCCCTCTGGCTCTTCTGTCCTCCACTCATTACCTGTATCAATGGCACCTGTTTGAACTTGTTATCAGTATGAAAGATACCTGTCCACAGCCTCAAACAGTCACACTCCAAACTCCACAATGGCCACAACAAAAGAGCAGTCAAAGGAAACTGTTGTATATTTGAACTATACACTAAACAGATGTGACAATATTTGACCATTTGAACATCATAGCCAAAAAAGACCTGTGCCCTCAGGTCACAAGGACACAAGATAGTACAGGAATCATAAAGATGATCAGCTTACAAAACCAGACAATTATTGACTCTAAGTATAAACAGTGTTCTCTCCCACTTTTGGTAGAGCAAAGTCCAACACAATCAGGCGCCGCAGAGGTGGGGTCCTTGTTTGCTAAGACTGATATGGAAGACCAAAACCAAGACCAAAATCCAGACCAGAGACCAGTCTCGGACCATGTGACGTCATCGGACATGTTGATAAAACTGGGGGTAGGACATTTTGAGCAGGCTGAGCAGGGATAGTTAGACAGAGAACATCGCAGAGCGCCTGGATGTTCTCTGCACATTTTTCAGGCCTGGAGGGAAAGTTTAGAATGGCTCAGCATAGGGTTAGTTTTAGAGAATTAATGGCTCCAAGAGTTTTGTATCGATATTTAATTGTAAAGAGAATTAAATGTTCTATTTTTAACTCTTGCATCTTTATCTTACTTCTGCATCAACTTTGAACACGTCTGTCAAGGGTATTTTTGACAACAAAACCATAAACAAAATTGCAGACTGAAACTGCAGTAGGTAGTATCTTGGATAGATAGCTGTATGGCCTACGCAGGTGGACAAACGCAGGACTCTACAAGGACTCTGATTGGGTATTCATGTTATGACTATAATATGCTCTGATTGTCTCTGGATAAGACACGTGTCTTTCGATGTGTGATGTATCTGTCATGTAACAGACTATAAAAACCATGTCCTGACTTTGTTCTGTCTGAAAAAACCTGGAAGAAACCTAAGAGAGATACTGAATAAACTTCCAGCGAGCTCTGGTGCACAAAGATCCCGTCTCTGTGTGGTGGATTCTCTACAGTGGGCAGCTTGGTGTGAATAAATGAACTGTGAGAGCAATTATTATACAAGACCACTGATAATCTTCCTCGATCTGGGGCTCCATGCAAGATCTCACCGATCCCAGAACCACACGGTGGTTCTAAAATAGAACTTTTTGGTAAATACTCAACTCGTCGTGTTTGGAGGAGAGTTGCCTCCAAAAGAACCCCATACCAACTGTGAAGCAAGGGGGTGCTTTGGGACGAGGACGACAGATCTGTGTAAAGGAAAGAATGAATGAATGGGGCCATGAATCGTGAGTATTAAAGGGTCTTTAAGCATGACAATGATCCCAAACACACCACCCAGGAAATGAAGGTGTGGCTTTGTAAGAAGCATTTCAAGGTCCTGGAGTGGCCTGGCCAGTCTCCAGATCTCAATCCTATAGAAAATCTTTGGAGGGAGTTGAAAGTCCGTGTTGCCCAGCGAGAGCCCCGAAACATCATTGCTTTAAAGGAGATGTGCATGGAGGAATGGGCCAAAATACCAGCATAACAGTGTGTGAAAACCTTGTGAAGACTTGAGAGACGTTTGAGCTCTGTCAATGCCAACAAAGGCTAGTAATGAAATGAACTTTTGTTATTGGCCCAATACTTATTTTCCACAATGATTTACAAATAAATTCTTTAAAAATGATTTGTGTATGTGATTTTCTGGAATTTTTTTCTCATTTTGTCTCTTGTAGTTGAGGTTTACCTATGATGAAAATTACAGGCCGCCTTTTTTAAGTCGGAGAACTTGCACAACTGGTGGCTGACCTATTTGCCCCACTGTTTATCTGCAGTATCTGCTATTTTCCATATATGTTACATAAATAATGATTATTACTCTGTGCTTGTGGCAGGAAATTCTAAATAAAAAAATAAAAAAACACCTAAGACATTGAGCAAATAGATACAATTTTGGGAAGGATATGTGATTTTTTTTGTTTGGTTGTCATCTTACCCAGGAGCACAGGCTTGTCCTTCTGCCAGTGTCCCATCCGGAAGGCCCTCACCGCCTGCTCCTTGATCAGTTCTCCGTCTACACATGGCCCCCACGTCTCAAATACCTCCAAGAAGCGGAACGGGTTCAGCAGCTTTGCACCTGCAACACAGGTGCAAAGCTGCAGTTGCAAAGCCAACAGCAAACAGGCCCCTTCTTTGTTATGAGTTTATCCAGTGTAAGTTCATATGAGGATGGCAACTGTTTAAATGTATAAAAAAAACAGGTAAAGTTGCAAACTGGAAGAACATTTGGAAAATAGCTGAAATGTCCAGTTCATTAGTTTTATAACAGTTTATTAGTTTGACATCATTTTAAATTGAGCATAAATGCACTTCTATGATTGACTCCACCTAATCAATGTTCCTTATATATTTCCCTGCACAAAGGAAGAAGGCCAAATATGGTCAAACTGGAATGTAATGTGAAAAATGTGTAATCCAGAAGTGTCCAAACCAGTCCAGAAAGAGCCGCTGTGGCTGCAGGTTTTCTATCAGACCAAGCAGGAGCAGAGCAGACTCCTCCCATTTCATCAAATCTTCAGGTTAAGACTGAACTCACCTGAGGAAATGGGCGGCATATCACTTTGCTGGATCTGATATGTCGCGTTCAGACCGGATCATGTGTTGCGTCGGCTTTCAATGCCAAGTCAAAGGTGACGCTCGTTCGAGCGTCGAAATACATGTGCGTCTCGGGATGCACGCACAGACTGCTCAGTAGAGACGCACAGACTGCTCTGTAGAGACGCACCGACTGCTCTGTAGAGACGCACAGACTGCTCTGTAGAGACACACGGACTGTTCTGTAGAGACGCACAGACTGCTCAGTAGAGACGCACGGACTGTTCTGTAGAGACGCACAGACTGTTCAGTAGAGACACACGGACTGTTCAGTAGAGACGCACGGACTGTTCAGTAGAGACGCACAGACTGTTCTGTAGAGACGCACAGACTGCTCAGTAGAGACGCACAGACTGTTCTGTAGAGACGCACAGACTGTTCTGTAGAGACGCACGGACTGTTCAGTAGAGACGCACGGACTGTTCTGTAGAGACGCACAGACTGCTCAGTAGAGACGCACAGACTGCTCAGTAGAGACACACAGACTGTTCAGTAGAGACGCACAGACTGCTCAGTAGAGACGCACAGACTGTTCAGTAGAGACGCACGGACTGTTCAGTAGAGACGCACGGACTGTTCAGTAGAGACGCACGGACTGTTCAGTAGAGACGCACGGACTGTTCAGTAGAGACGCACGGACTGTTCTGTAGAGACGCACGGACTGCTCGGTAGAGACGCACGGACTGTTCTGTAGAGACGCACGGACTGTTCAGTAGAGACGCACGGACTGTTCAGTAGAGACGCACAGACTGTTCAGTAGAGACGCACGGACTGTTCAGTAGAGACGCACAGACTGTTCAGTAGAGACGCACGGACTGTTCTGTAGAGACGCACGGACTGTTCAGTAGAGACGCACGGACTGTTCAGTAGAGACGCACGGACTGTTCTGTAGAGACGCACGGACTGTTCAGTAGAGACGCACGGACTGTTCAGTAGAGACGCACGGACTGTTCAGTAGAGACGCACGGACTGTTCTGTAGAGACGCACGGACTGTTCAGTAGAGACGCACGGACTGTTCAGTAGAGACGCACAGACTGTTCTGTAGAGACGCACGGACTGTTCAGTAGAGACGCACGGACTGTTCAGTAGAGACGCACGGACTGCTCTGTAGAGACACACAGACTGTTCAGTAGAGACGCACAGACTGTTCAGTAGAGACACACAGACTGCTCTGTAGAGACGCACGGACTGTTCAGTAGAGACACACAGACTGCTCTGTAGAGACGCACGGACTGTTCTGTAGAGACACACAGACTGTTCTGTAGAGACGCACAGACTGCTCAGTAGAGACGCACAGACTGCTCAGTAGAGACACACAGACTGTTCAGTAGAGACGCACGGACTGCTCTGTAGAGACGCACAGACTGCTCTGTAGAGACGCACAGACTGTTCAGTAGAGACACACAGACTGTTCTGTAGAGACGCACGGACTGCTCTGTAGAGACACACGGACTGTTCTGTAGAGACGCACAGACTGCTCTGTAGAGACGCACGGACTGTTCTGTAGAGACGCACGGACTGTTCTGTAGAGACGCACGGACTGTTCTGTAGAGACGCACAGACTGTTCTGTAGAGACGCACGGACTGTTCAGTAGAGACGCACAGACTGTTCTGTAGAGACGCACAGACTGCTCAGTAGAGACGCACAGACTGCTCAGTAGAGACGCACAGACTGTTCTGTAGAGACGCACAGACTGCTCAGTAGAGACGCACAGACTGCTCAGTAGAGACGCACAGACTGTTCAGTAGAGACGCACAGACTGCTCAGTAGAGACGCACGGACTGTTCAGTAGAGACGCACGGACTGTTCAGTAGAGACGCACGGACTGCTCTGTAGAGACGCACGGACTGTTCTGTAGAGACGCACAGACTGTTCAGTAGAGACGCACGGACTGTTCAGTAGAGACGCACAGACTGCTCAGTAGAGACGCACGGACTGTTCAGTAGAGACGCACGGACTGTTCAGTAGAGACGCACGGACTGCTCTGTAGAGACGCACAGACTGTTCAGTAGAGACGCACGGACTGTTCTGTAGAGACGCACGGACTGTTCAGTAGAGACGCACGGACTGTTCTGTAGAGACGCACAGACTGTTCAGTAGAGACGCACAGACTGTTCAGTAGAGACGCACGGACTGTTCAGTAGAGACGCACGGACTGCTCTGTAGAGACGCACGGACTGCTCAGTAGAGACGCACAGACTGTTCAGTAGAGACGCACAGACTGCTCAGTAGAGACACACAGACTGTTCAGTAGAGACGCACAGACTGTTCAGTAGAGACGCACGGACTGTTCAGTAGAGACGCACGGACTGCTCTGTAGAGACGCACGGACTGCTCTGTAGAGACGCACGGACTGTTCAGTAGAGACGCACGGACTGTTCTGTAGAGACGCACAGACTGTTCAGTAGAGACGCACAGACTGCTCAGTAGAGACGCACAGACTGCTCAGTAGAGACGCACGGACTGTTCAGTAGAGACGCACGGACTGTTCAGTAGAGACGCACGGACTGTTCAGTAGAGACGCACAGACTGTTCAGTAGAGACGCACGGACTGTTCAGTAGAGACGCACAGACTGTTCAGTAGAGACGCACGGACTGTTCTGTAGAGACGCACGGACTGTTCTGTAGAGACGCACGGACTGTTCTGTAGAGACGCACGGACTGTTCTGTAGAGACGCACGGACTGTTCAGTAGAGACGCACAGACTGTTCTGTAGAGACGCACGGACTGTTCAGTAGAGACGCACGGACTGTTCAGTAGAGACGCACAGACTGTTCTGTAGAGACACACAGACTGTTCAGTAGAGACGCACGGACTGTTCAGTAGAGACGCACGGACTGCTCTGTAGAGACGCACAGACTGTTCAGTAGAGACGCACAGACTGTTCAGTAGAGACGCACAGACTGTTCAGTAGAGACGCACGGACTGCTCTGTAGAGACGCACAGACTGTTCTGTAGAGACACACAGACTGTTCAGTAGAGACGCACGGACTGTTCAGTAGAGACGCACGGACTGCTCTGTAGAGACGCACGGACTGTTCAGTAGAGACGCACGGACTGTTCAGTAGAGACGCACGGACTGTTCAGTAGAGACGCACGGACTGTTCAGTAGAGACGCACAGACTGTTCAGTAGAGACGCACGGACTGTTCAGTAGAGACGCACAGACTGTTCTGTAGAGACACACAGACTGTTCAGTAGAGACGCACAGACTGCTCAGTAGAGACGCACGGACTGTTCAGTAGAGACGCACAGACTGTTCAGTAGAGACACACAGACTGTTCTGTAGAGACGCACAGACTGTTCTGTAGAGACGCACGGACTGCTCAGTAGAGACGCACCGACTGCTCAGTAGAGACGCACAGACTGTTCAGTAGAGACGCACAGACTGCTCTGTAGAGACGCACGGACTGCTCTGTAGAGACGCACCGACTGCTCAGTAGAGACGCACAGACTGTTCAGTAGAGACGCACAGACTGCTCAGTAGAGACACACAGACTGTTCAGTAGAGACGCACAGACTGTTCAGTAGAGACGCACGGACTGTTCAGTAGAGACGCACGGACTGCTCTGTAGAGACGCACGGACTGTTCAGTAGAGACGCACAGACTGTTCAGTAGAGACGCACAGACTGCTCAGTAGAGACGCACGGACTGTTCAGTAGAGACGCACGGACTGTTCAGTAGAGACGCACGGACTGTTCAGTAGAGACGCACAGACTGTTCAGTAGAGACGCACGGACTGTTCAGTAGAGACGCACGGACTGTTCAGTAGAGACGCACAGACTGTTCAGTAGAGACACACAGACTGTTCAGTAGAGACACACAGACTGTTCAGTAGAGACACACAGACTGTTCAGGTAGAGACGCACGGACTGTTCAGTAGAGACGCACAGACTGTTCAGTAGAGACGCACGGACTGTTCAGTAGAGACGCACGGACTGTTCAGTAGAGACGCACGGACTGTTCAGTAGAGACGCACGGACTGTTCAGTAGAGACGCACGGACTGTTCAGTAGAGACGCACGGACTGTTCAGTAGAGACGCACAGACTGTTCAGTAGAGACGCACAGACTGTTCAGTAGAGACGCACGGACTGTTCAGTAGAGACGCACGGACTGTTCAGTAGAGACGCACAGACTGTTCAGTAGAGACGCACAGACTGTTCAGTAGAGACGCACGGACTGTTCAGTAGAGACGCACGGACTGTCAGTAGAGACGCACGGACTGTTCAGTAGAGACGCACGGACTGTTCAGTAGAGACGCACGGACTGTTCAGTAGAGACGCACGGACTGTTCAGTAGAGACGCACGGACTGTTCAGTAGAGACGCACGGACTGTTCAGTAGAGACGCACAGACTGTTCAGTAGAGACGCACGGACTGTTCAGTAGAGACGCACGGACTGTTCAGTAGAGACGCACGGACTGTTCAGTAGAGACGCACGGACTGTTCTGTAGAGACGCACAGACTGTTCAGTAGAGACGCACAGACTGTTCAGTAGAGACGCACAGACTGTTCAGTAGAGACGCACAGACTGTTCAGTAGAGACACACAGACTGTTCTGTAGAGACGCACGGACTGCTCAGTAGAGACGCACAGACTGCTCAGTAGAGACGCACAGACTGTTCAGTAGAGACGCACAGACTGCTCTGTAGAGACGCACGGACTGCTCTGTAGAGACGCACCGACTGCTCAGTAGAGACGCACAGACTGTTCAGTAGAGACGCACAGACTGCTCAGTAGAGACACACAGACTGTTCAGTAGAGACGCACAGACTGTTCAGTAGAGACGCACAGACTGCTCAGTAGAGACACACAGACTGTTCAGTAGAGACGCACAGACTGTTCAGTAGAGACGCACGGACTGTTCAGTAGAGACGCACGGACTGCTCTGTAGAGACGCACGGACTGTTCAGTAGAGACGCACAGACTGTTCAGTAGAGACACACAGACTGTTCAGTAGAGACGCACGGACTGCTCTGTAGAGACGCACAGACTGTTCAGTAGAGACACACAGACTGTTCAGTAGAGACGCACGGACTGCTCAGTAGAGACGCACAGACTGTTCAGTAGAGACACACAGACTGTTCAGTAGAGATGCACAGACTGTTCAGTAGAGACGCACAGACTGCTCTGTAGAGACGCACAGACTGTTCAGTAGAGACGCACGGACTGTTCAGTAGAGACGCACGGACTGTTCAGTAGAGACGCACGGACTGTTCAGTAGAGACGCACAGACTGTTCAGTAGAGACGCACAGACTGCTCAGTAGAGACGCACAGACTGTTCAGTAGAGACACACAGACTGTTCAGTAGAGACGCACGGACTGCTCTGTAGAGACGCACAGACTGTTCAGTAGAGACACACAGACTGTTCTGTAGAGACGCACGGACTGTTCAGTAGAGACACACAGACTGTTCAGTAGAGACGCACGGACTGCTCTGTAGAGATGCACAGACTGTTCTGTAGAGACGCACAGACTGTTCTGTAGAGATGCACGGACTGTTCAGTAGAGACGCACGGACTGCTCAGTAGAGACGCACAGACTGTTCAGTAGAGACACACAGACTGTTCAGTAGAGACGCACAGACTGTTCAGTAGAGACACACAGACTGTTCAGTAGAGACGCACGGACTGTTCTGTAGAGACGCACGGACTGCTCAGTAGAGACGCACAGACTGTTCAGTAGAGACGCACAGACTGCTCAGTAGAGACGCACGGACTGTTCTGTAGAGACGCACGGACTGTTCAGTAGAGACGCACAGACTGTTCAGTAGAGACGCACGGACTGTTCAGTAGAGACGCACAGACTGCACGGCTAAGTCGCGGCAGAGGCGCAGGAGCGGAAAATCGACGCACGCAGGAGATACATTTTGCTGAACTTTTCCTTGGACGTTTGTGCAGCGACCAATCAGAGAGCCGCAAAGTGGTCACTGGGACATTAGCGGTCTGAGCGAGCAGACTGAGCATACTGTAAACAGCCAAAACAGGAGCTACATCAGGACTAAACCAGGACTAAACCAGGACTAAACCAGGGTTGACAATGGGGGACATAGTGCTTGTTAACATATGAGTTTTCACGCTCCTGTGACTTTATGCAAATGCTTTGAGCGTGTTCGCCGATGCGGAAGTACCGTTTAATAATTAGGATAAACGTATGGCGCACCTCCATGAACACAAACTGCTGTTATATAAAGTCGGTGGAAGGTCTCTGAACACAGAGACGCTGCAGAGCTGCATTATTGGAGAAGAACTTTACACAAAAAGCCGCTTGTTTAACTACATTAGCATCAAAGTCCGCCGGCTACTTCCTCGTCGTTCTGCGAGTGCCACCGCTGGCCAGGAGTTCTGGTGTGAAGACCTCTGCGTCTGAAAACTAGAGAATGTGCGTCTGGTGCGTGAGGCTTCAGCGTTCCAGCGTTGGTGGTGTGAAAGCAGCTATAGAAAACCTGCAGCCACAGCGGCCCTTTCTGGACCAGTTTGGACACCATGAATTCTAAGATCATCATCTTGTTGTGTTTTGTGAAAGATAAACCTTAATGCATCATAGGCACTTATATATATATATATAATTATTTTAAAGCATTAAGAAGTAGTTGTTTGTTAATTACTCTGTTGCCCTGATTAGTGTGATTGATTTTCACACTTTGTTTGTGAGGTCAATGTATCTACTTACTTCTCACAAGAAACTCTTAGAACTTTTGAGTAGATACAGTATTAGTTGTGGGCAAATGACTCTGATGCCCCGGAGCGTGTGTCCCTCTTTACGAAGCAAACTGCTTCAAAAACACTGCTTTGGAGCGTGTATCAGAACAACCGGTCACGTGACAGACGTGTCAGTGTGTTGGACTTCACTATAATACATATCAACTGTGTCGATGTTTAAGCATTTCATTGGTTCAATGTGTTTCCTGACTTTTCATTGTTTCAGAGAGTTACATATCGCTTCCTTGGTGTGAATGCTTTCAGTGGATAAGCACAAAAGCTACAGATAAATGATGCGTCAACTGTTGATCTACGATTGTTTTTATATTTAAATATACTTGTATTCGATATATATATCGAATACATATATTCGCCCATATATATATATATATATATGGGCGACAGTAGCTCAGTTGGTAGAGCATTGGCCTTAAAGAAGCTATACCCGATTTTTTTTCTAAGTAGTTCATAAAAATGCTTTTTACTACATACAAGTTGTATCATAATACATCATTTAATTGAAAACTTGAGGTAATTGATTCAGCTGTGTAAGAATTACAAGCAGTGAAAAGTGCTGAGTAGAGTCTGAGCGGGACGTTCTCCTCCACTCACAGAACGAGCAGTGACCAGCCTGCGTCCTCTAGTCTCTACAGCCTGTGTCCTCTAGTCTCTACAGCCTGTGTCCTCTAGTCTCTACAGCCTGTGTCCTCTAGTCTCTACAGCCTGTGTCCTCTAGTCTCTACAGCCTGTGTCCTCTAGTCTCTACAGCCTGTGTCCTCTAGTCTCTACAGCCTGCGTCCTCTAGCCTCTACAGCCTGCGTCCTCTAGTCTCTACAGCCTGCGTCCTCTAGTCTCTACAGCCTGCGTCCTCTAGTCTCTACAGCCTGTAGTCCTCTAGTCTCTACAGCCTGTGTCCTCTAGCCTCTACAGCCTGTGTCCTCTAGTCTCTACAGCCTGTGTCCTCTAGTCTCTACAGCCTGTGTCCTCTAGTCTCTACAGCCTGTTTTCCTCTGCCTGGCCCTTGCAGGGCTCCGTACTTTCACATGTGCCCGAGTCGTGATGAAAACACAGGGTGAGTTAGCGACACAGTTTACACCGTTTACATTTGACATAAAGTACAGACACAGCACTGCAGCGCATTACTGTCTGTAGTTTATGAGCATAAAGTACAGACACAGCACTGCAGCGCATTACTGTCTGTAGTTTATGAGCATAAAGTACAGACACAGCACTGCAGCACATTACTGTCTGTAGTTTATGAACAGAGATGGAGCAACTCCGTTTGGCTCCCATTGAAAACCATGTAAATCTTGTCTGTTTTGTAGTCAAAAGGCTCTCCTCCTGTGGGTGTACAGGAGATATATATATATATATATATATCATATATATATATATATATATATCATATATATATATATATATATATATATATATATATATATATATATATATCATATATATATATATATGATATATATATATTAGCTCGTAGTGTGAAAAAAATATGTATTTCAGTATCTCACGAAAAAAGTAAAATGAACTGAACTTTGAACTAGTTCAGAATTAAAAATGTGAACTTTGAACGTGAACTGTTCACTTTGAGCATGTATAAACTGAACTTGAACTATTTCAGAAAAGCTGTGAACTGGCACAACACTGGTGAACCCATAGTCCTGACACAGTAAGTTTTCAATTGGCCACTTTTTTAATCAATCATGTTGAAAACGGTCATACTTGTGCAAATCATTTCCCTGTCCTTACAGGCGTGTATCATGGTTTAGACCAGGTCTGGTCAGGGCGTGCCCAGGGCGTGCCCAGGGCATAGGCCTAAAATAAATAATAAACTCAATAAAAAATGTCATGATTGAACCCTGCTGCTGTCGGCCGCACTCTTGTCAAGCCAAGGTGAGTAGGTACAGGATGGGCAGCCTCGCGCATCCCAGAGTCCCCGGATACGCAAAAGGCAAATACCACAAACTTCCTTTGGGGCAACCAACCAAATCATGACAACAGATTTCCTCCATGATGTAAAAACACAGAACTGACCTCAAATCTAAAAGATGAGACATGACAAGTGAATGAAACTGCTCCCCTTCCCCACTTGTCACACCCCACAAAACACAGTCCCTTGATCAGTCTTTGGGGACTTATGGAACACACCTGGTGAAAGTGTAAGGGAGGCTCATTATTGGCAGCGCTTTGTGACTAACATTTGAGTGATAAAATGCTGTTTGTTCAGACATAGTTTGTTGAGACTAATATGACATTTTGAAGAACATCAGTTTTTGCTTTTGTAAATTGCCCCATATTGAAGAATAAAATTAAGAAAAAATATTAGTCCACATATTTTTGTTGAAATAAATCAGGTTGCCGTTACATTTTAGAACTAAGCTACATTCATATTATTATGTAGAAAATCACAAACTATATTTTCTCATCTTTCCCATGGTGTATCAAAGTATGCTCTTTTAAATTATGTTTTAAGCATTGGCCAAACGTCAGACTAGATGATGAGTATGAGGAGTAAGTAAACATGAGTATAGGTAAACATTAAAACAGAGAAAGAGAACCTTCCCTGGATCTCCTCCGAACACAGCGATGTTGCGTTGGACCCAGAGCAGAGCGGCCTGCTGGTCCATTAGCCCATAGTTCCCCACTGCTGACGAGAGAGGGTCCTTTCCAGACACCAGGAACCCAAACGCACCTGAGGAGCAGAAGTGTGTACTGTAACAAATGTTGACACTATAATACAGTTATGTAGGTACTGCAGTAAGCTATAAACAGTATGCTGATGTTGCTACAGTACCCCATAGTATTTTAAATGTCAAATGTAATGGTGTCAATAAAGCTCTGAGAGATTCTGTCATGTGAGCTGATTAGTTGATTTCAAAGTGAAAAGAAAAAAGAATCCGACCTTTGCCTGAGGACACTTGCTTTTCAGTCTTACATATTTGGACTGAGAGGGATGTGCTGACCAAGATGGCGCCCTGTTCAAATGAACGGCTTGTGCTCAGTAGTTCATGGGACTTCACGGGGACCGGGAGATTAGCAGAACTCGCCCATATTTGGGCATCGTCTGGTCCTCCTGGTTCTGTGCAGTGGACGAGCTCCCATGATGTGTTGTGCCAAATAAGTGTGTGTGGCTCTCATGCACGTGCAGAGGGGCTCAGCCTCGCTCTGACCAATCAGAGCTGCTGATCAGAGCGGGAAGGAAAGGAGCAGAGTTTGTGGCAAGTAAAGAAAACCGAAGGATTTAAGAAGAAAAAAAGTTCAGGACGACAAGGGACTCTAAAATCCCCATAAAATCCGATATTTCTGAAAGCTGTAGGTTTCAGAAATATCAGATTTTTAATTTACATTGAGTTCTATGGGACTTGTTTCTGTGTAGCCCATGTGAATTTAGTCTGCAGTACCACAGCGCCCCCTGTGCCCATGGGTGGGATAGCTGTAAGCTAGTAATACTCTATCCAGTTATTATAGATCCATGGCTGTGAGTCACTCATATCCAGTTTAGGCTGAGAGCTGATTGGCTGGGTAAGGATGGTCCACTTTTTTCCTCTTTTCTGTCCAAATGCTAATCTAAAGATGTGTCAGAGACCAAAAATACATGATTGTGAAAACAAGTGATAGAAGCAAACTGTTTTAGAGCCAGGAACTAGCCACATTAATCTTTACTTGATTTTTTTTTTTCTTCTAATGTCCATCCAAAAAGTGGAAACTACAGTGCTAAAGTACACTGCACAGAACTGTAGAGAAGCTGAGGCCTTCAGGCAATTCCTTTATCCCCACCGCTGTCAGACTGTACAATAAGTCATTTTAAGTCACTAATGCACTAGGACTGAAAAAACCTGCTGCTATTGCCACTCTTTCTTATATTGTACATAATTATATCCTACACTGACTATATTTTTAACCTTTAACATGTTAATGTTAATGTTTTTTGCAGTCCTTTTTATGGGCATTAATGGGCGGTTACCTATGCTAAGTACCTATGCTAATGAAGCACCGGGCACGCACGCTCTACTTACGAGGAGACAGCTGCGAACAATTCAGCGGCTTACGAGCGCGTTGATGAATCCCACGGAGGCTCTTATTAGAAATCTACTTAAGAACGACTTGAAGAAATTTAAGACGTTTCTTAAGAAGATATTTGTTGCAACGATCTGGGCCACTTTGTCTAGTTCGTTTGTATAAACCTATGAGACCGTGCATTGACAGAACAGAGGCAGAAGTTTCATTTTTAATAGAGCAACATTTGTTCAAATAAAAATGTCCTGTGCATCAGTCCTTGTTCAGGTTGTCTTGATTCCGCAGGTGCTTTCTAGCTCTGAATTTGACTGGCATGTGTTTCTGCGTACCAGATGTGCACTCCTGACTATAGAGTCCATAAAGGTGCTCTGTGTAATTTTTACAATACAAATGTGATTTTTTTTAAAGAATATTTACTTTCACCATGTTTTTGAATTGTTGTCATAGGATTATAATTTGACTTATAAATGAATACAGTGGGGCATCCTTCCACACACGGTGATGACAGAAGCAAGTCCGGAACACACTGGACCATCAGCTCCAACACTCTCTCATTTACATTCAGACCTATTGTGCGTGTTTTTAGTGGTAGGGGAAACCGGAGCACCTGGAGGAAACCTACACAGACACGGGGAGAACATGCAAACTCCACTCAGAAAGGCCCTGTTCCGACCGGGATTCAAACCCAGGACCTTCTTGCTGAGAAACAAGAGTGCTAACCACTCAGCCACCGTGCCGCCAAAGAAATGAGGGAAAAAAAAATCACGTCTGTTTTTTAAAGAATTTCTTTGCAAATCATGGTGGAACATATTTATACCAATAACAGTCAATCACAAAAGTTTAAATACTTTTTTATATACCCTTTGTTGGCAATGACAGAGCTCAAATGTTTTCTGTAAGTCTTCACAAGGTTTTCACGCACCTATTTTGGCCTATTTCTCCGTGCAGATCTGTAGAACAGTGATGTTTTGAGGCTGTCGCTGGGCAACACGGACCTTCAACTCCCTCCAGAGATTTTCTATGGGGTTGAGATCTGGAGACTGGCCAGGCCACTCCAGGACTGGGTGAGATCTTCTTTGTTCATTGCTCTGCCTTAAAAATGCCCCCCTTCCCTCCCCCACCAATATATTCTGCACTACTATGTTGTACATAGTAATTTATGTTTTTTTGGAATCTGTATCACATGGTGTTAAAATATTTTTTTTTTTTAAATGTCTGATATTGATGCTTTATAACTATTTTCCCACAAGTCACTGTGAACTTTCTTAGTGTCGTTATCTTCCAATAAATGTCTATATTTTACATCAAAGTCAATCATCAGAGAGAGTATCGACCGACATCATCAAACAACACATGGACCAACGATATTTCCAATATTGGCCCCAATATCGCACACCGGTATCGTATCAGTATCATCCCTATGTATAAGTATTATTATTATATAATATGTTCATATGTATTAAATATCTTTTCATGTAATCCTCTTTCCTCTGAGATAAACTATGATTGTCCAAAATGTCGACACTTTGCATCGTTTCTGATCAAATAAAAACCACTAACACTATCAAAAAAAGGGTATTCCGGACAAAAAGTATTGTTAAACATTACAGACAGTACGGGCCAGAGAACTGTAGAGCAGTAAAATCCACATGTATGTGTTTGTCCTCATGGTCTCTGAGGCTGCTGTGGTCAGACGAGAGTCTCTATGGGCTGCGTGAAGCAGAGAGACCCGCACCTGCGGCCGTTATGTCAGATGTCAGAGAAAATATAGTATTTACTGACATTGCTTATCTCGTGTGAATGCACTGCAAGATCTCAGACTGGAGAAAACAAACTCGTTTCATTTCCGGGTAATTGATTGACTGCGAAATGTATTAAATACTAAATAAAAAAGGTTAACTAATGCATTTTCTTGTTCCCAAATCAGTTTTTTTTATTTTCTATTTCCCTTCAAAAGTAGAAAATGTATTGAATGCAAAAGTACACGGACCCTGCTCTTAACATATTGACTTGACAAAAGGAGATAACTATGATCAAATACAGGGGTCATAGTAGTTACCCTGCTCCGAACCAAGATTGGCCCACTCTGGTTTCTCCTCTGAACTTGAAGTTACCCTGTCTCAGACCAGCATCAACAGCTCTATCTGCTTTCATTCAGTCGTGACACAATTTCACAAGATGCATTTGTCACAAATATTGACTGCAGGGCCCAGGACTCACCTAGTCGGTAGTCCAGGCTGACTACCACAGTGCGGGTGAAGTTACTGATGAACCGGCCATCGTACAACGGTTTGGAGGAGTGTCCGGCAATGAAATTTCCGCCGTGGATCCAGACCAGCACCGGCAGAGGGTTCCACAGCGGCACGCTCAGGTTCACATCCAGAGGGATGAAGATGTTCAGGTATAAGCAGTCCTCACTCAGCTACAAGACAAGAAAACAATAATAACACTATAGAGATATAAAATCTGTTTTCTGTGTATTTTTTGTTCAATGGTTTTTTTCAAAATAAAATCAAAAATGAAATATCTTAAAATATTAAGATATTTCAATTTAAATTAATATTTAAATATCTTAAAATATTCCGTGTATCATCCGTTCTTTTGACTCTCTAAATAAAACCAACATTAAAGTGATTGTCTGGAGTTTGTCAGAAAGAGACAGAGAGGCTCCTCCCCCTTCCTTTCTGATTGGTCTACGCCTACGTTTCCGTAACACTTTTAAATGATAATCAGAGAACACATTATACATATACATTATTAATAAACATGCACAGAGGTTTTCAGAATTATCTGTTAACGTTTTAATGAAAAAAAAAATGTTTTAATGCACACAAAAAAGCGATCGCAGCAAACCAGGAAGTGCTATTATTATGAATTGAACATTATAGGACACATCTGCAGAGGATCTGATTATGGATATAGGTTCATATATAAATGATTATGGATATAGGTTCATATATAAATGATTATGGATATAGGTTCATATATAAATGATTATGGATATAGGTTCATATATAAATGATTATGGATATAGGTTCATATATAAATGATTATGGATATAGGTTCATATATAAATGATTATGGATATAGATTCATATATAAATGATTATGGATATAGGTTCAGTATATAAATGATTATGGATATAGGTTCATATATAAATGATTATGGATATAGGTTCATATATAAATGATTATGGATATAGGTTCATATATAAATGATTATGGATATAGGTTCATATATAAATGATTATGGATATAGGTTCAGTATATAAATGATTATGGATATAGGTTCATATATAAATGATTATGGATATAGGTTCATATGTAAATGATTATGGATATAGGTTCATATATAAATGATTATGGATATAGGTTCATATATAAATGATTATGGATATAGGTTCATATATAAATGATTATGGATATAGGTTCATATATAAATGATTATGGATATAGGTTCATATATAAATGATTATGGATATAGGTTCAGTATATAAATGATTATGGATATAGGTTCATATATAAATGATTATGGATATAGGTTCAGTATATAAATGATTATGGATATAGGTTCATACATAAATGATTATGGATATAGGTTCAGTATATAAATGATAATGGATATAGGTTCATATATAAATGATTATGGATATAGGTTCATATATAAATGATTATGGATATAGGTTCAGTATATAAATGATTATGGATATAGGTTCAGTATATAAATGATTATAGATATAGGTTCATATATAAATGATTATGGATATAGGTTCAGTATATAAATGATTATGGATATAGGTTCAGTATATAAATGATTATGGATATAGGTTCATATATAAATGATTATGGATATAGGGTCAGTATATAAATGATTATGGATATAGGTTCATATATAAATGATTATGGATATAGGTTCATATATAAATGATTATGGATATAGGTTCATATATAAATGATTATGGATATAGGTTCATATATAAATGATTATGGATATAGGGTCAGTATATAAATGATTATGGATATAGGTTCCGTATATAAATGATTATGGATATAGGTTCATATATAAATGATTATGGATATAGGTTCAGTATATAAATGATTATGGATATAGGTTCATATATAAATGATTATGGATATAGGTTCAGTATATAAATGATTATGAATATAGGTTCAGTATATAAATGATTATGGATATAGGTTCAGTATATAAATGATTATGGATATAGGTTCATATATAAATGATTATGGATATAGGTTCATATATAAATGATTATGGATATAGGTTCAGTATATAAATGATTATGGATATAGGTTCATATATAAATGATTATGGATATAGGTTCATATATAAATGATTATGGATATAGGTTCATATAAAAATGATTATGGATATAGGTTCATATATAAATGATTATGGATATAGGTTCATATATAAATGATTATGGATATAGGTTCATATATAAATGATTATGGATATAGGTTCAGTATATAAATGATTATGGATATAGGTTCATATATAAATGATTATGGATATATGTTCAGTATATAAATGATTATGGATATAGGTTCAGTATATAAATGATTATGGATATAGGTTCAGTATATAAATGATTATGGATATAGGTTCATATATAAATGATTATGGATATAGGTTCATATATAAATGATTATGGATATAGGTTCATATATAAATGATTATGGATATAGGTTCAGTATATAAATGATTATGGATATAGGTTCATATATAAATGATTATGGATATAGGTTCAGTATATAAATGATTATGGATATAGGTTCAGTATATAAATGATTATGGATATAGGTTCAGTATATAAATGATTATGGATATAGGTTCAGTATATAAATGATTATGGATATAGGTTCATATATAAATGATTATGGATATAGGTTCAGTATACAAATGATTATGGATATAGGTTCATATATAAATGATTATGGATATAGGTTCAGTATATAAATGATTATGGATATAGGTTCAGTATATAAATGATTATGGATATAGGTTCAGTATATAAATGATTATGGATATAGGTTCATATATAAATGATTATGGATATAGGTTCATATATAAATGATTATGGATATAGGTTCAGTATATAAATGATTATGGATATAGGTTCAGTATATAAATGATTATGGATATAGGTTCAGTATATAAATGATTATGGATATAGGTTCAGTATATAAATGATTATGGATATAGGTTCAGTATATAAATGATTATGAATATAGGTTCAGTATATAAATGATTATGGATATAGGTTCATATATAAATGATTATGGATATAGGTTCAGTATATAAATGATTATGGATATAGGTTCATATATAAATGATTATGGATATAGGTTCAGTATATAAATGATTATGGATATAGGTTCAGTATATAAATGATTATGGATATAGGTTCAGTATATAAATGATTATGGATATAGGTTCATATATAAATGATTATGGATATAGGTTCATATATAAATGATTATGGATATAGGTTCAGTATATAAATTATTATGGATATAGGTTCATATATAAATGATTATGGATATAGGTTCATATATAAATGATTATGGATATAGGTTCATATATAAATGATTATGGATATAGGTTCAGTATATAAATGATTATGGATATAGGTTCATATATAAATGATTATGGATATAGGTTCATATATAAATGATTATGGATATAGGTTCAGTATATAAATGATTATGGATATAGGTTCAGTATATAAATGATTATGGATATAGGTTCAGTATATAAATGATTATGGATATAGGTTCAGTATATAAATGATTATGGATATAGGTTCAGTATATAAATGATTATGGATATAGTTTCAGTATATAAATGATTTTGGATATAGGTTCATATATAAATGATTATGGATATAGGTTCAGTATATAAATGATTATGGATATAGGTTCATATATAAATGATTATGGATATAGGTTCATATATAAATGATTATGGATATAGGTTCAGTATATAAATGATTATGGATATAGGTTCAGTATATAAATGATTATGGATATAGGTTCATATATAAATGATTATGGATATAGGTTCAGTATATAAATGATTATGGATATAGGTTCATATATAAATGATTATGGATATAGGTTCATATATAAATGATTATGGATATAGGTTCATATATAAATGATTATGGATATAGATTCAGTATATAAATGATTATGGATATAGGTTCATATATAAATGATTATGGATATATGTTCAGTATATAAATGATTATGGATATAGGCTCAGTATATAAATGATTATGGATATATGTTCATTATATAAATGATTATGGATATAGGTTCAGTATATAAATGATTATGAATATAGGTTCATATATAAATGATTATGGATATAGGTTCATATATAAATGATTATGGATATAGGTTCAATATATAAATGATTATGGATATAGGTTCATATATAAATGATTATGGATATAGGTTCAGTATATACATGATTATGGATATAGGTTCAGTATATATATGATTATGGATATAGGTTCATATATAAATGATTATGGATATAGGTTCAGTATATAAATGATTATGGATATAGGTTCATATATAAATGATTATGGATATAGGTTCAGTATATAAATGATTATGGATATAGGTTCATATATAAATGATTATGGATATAGGTTCATATATAAATGATTATGGATATAGGTTCATATATAAATGATTATGGATATAGGTTCATATATAAATGATTATGGATATAGGTTCATATAAAAATGATTATGGATATAGGTTCATATATAAATGATTATGGATATAGGTTCATATATAAATGATTATGGATATAGGTTCATATATAAATGATTATGGATATAGGTTCATATATAAATGATTATGGAAATAGGTTCATATATAAATGATTATGGATATAGGTTCATATATAAATGATTATGGATATAGGTTCATATATAAATGATTATGGATATAGGTTCATATATAAATGATTATGGATATAGGTTCAGTATATAAATGATTATGGATATAGGTTCATATATAAATGATTATGGATATAGGTTCAGTATATAAATGATTATGGATATATGTTCATATATAAATGATTATGGATATAGGTTCAGTATATAAATGATTATGGATATAGGTTCAGTATATAAATGATTATGGATATATGTTCATATATAAATGATTATGGATATAGGTTCATATATAAATGGAGGCTTGATTCTGAGGCTCTGTGAAAACAAACAACTGAGCATGAGCAGCTGCAGCATCAGTGCTGATGATTGACAGCCCTTGGCATGACTCGATTGGTTAACGTGGACGGCATCGTGGATTCTGAGCTATAGCCAAGAGAAGGGAAGGCGGGACTTACTGTAATATTATAATTAATAAAATGACTTATTT